TAAATACTCTAACACATTTTTAGCACATTCTTTTTCAGAATCTTTTTTTGTTTTTTTCCATGATGATGAAATATCTCTACCATTTACTGTTAAAATTGACTTTTAATAAAAAAAAATTAATATACAAATAATACAGCACTATAAATTTAATAATATTTAAAATACTTACTCTAAAGTCTTTTTTGTGTTCTGAACCTCTTGTTTCAGTTTTATACGTTGCATAAGGTAATTTCCTCTTGTTTAAATATTCGTTTAATTGAACCTTTTCGTTCATTGTAATAGAAATTAATAAAAATTAAAAAATAAAAATACACACAAATTAAAAGAAAAAAATAAACTTTCTTTTTTTTTTTTTATTTTTTTTTTTTTATTATTTACAAATTTATAAAAATTATTTATTTTATAAATTTGTTAATAAAGAAGCGAAAAAAAACTTTTAGAAAAAAAAAAAAAAAGTTTTGAACTATGATAGAAATAAAAATATTATTAAATATTATTAAATAATGAAATATTGTGTATGATTATAAAAAAAATTTTAATTTTTAAAAAAAAAATTAAAAAAAATTTCGTTTTTTTTTTTTTTTAAAATTTTTTTTTTTAAAAATTTGGATTGTTATGGAAATAATATTTTTTTTTTAAAAAAATATTGATATAGCAAAAACCGGTCAAGTTTTCCCACTCATTTTTTATATCAAAATTTAATGCGAAAAAAAGTTAAAAATTTGGTTTTTTTTTTTGTTATTTTAAATTTGTTGATTGGCTTGCACAATATATAAAAAAATAATGCACATGCATATATTAAAATAAATTTATCCAAAGTTATTTTTATTTAATTTTTAAAAAAAATAATAAATTTTATTCAAACAAATTAACATTAATAATAAATATAATAATATATAATATAATAAAAATAATATTTGAATTATTTATTTATATTTTATCATATTATATCATATTTTTAATTTAAATAAATAAAATTATAAATATCTATAAAAATGAAATCACAAAGTTCAAAGTGTAACCAAAATTTGAAAATTTAAAAAAATAAAATAAAATTTTTTTTTCATCCAAAATAAAAAAAATGAATAAATATATTGTTGAAAAAAATTTAGGATCTGGATCTTATGGAGAAACTTATAAAGTAAAGGATATAGAAACCAATGAATATTTTTGTAAAGTAAGTTTTTTTTTTATTTTTTCTTAAAAAAAAAAACTAATTTATATTTTTATTAAAATTTAAATAAATTTAGAAAATTGTAAAAGTTCCACAGTTAGGTGATATTCCAAAAGTATTAGAGGAAGGTAGAATATTATCAGGAATGAATCATATTAATGTTGTAAAGTTATATAATAACTATTTCGAAAATGGTAATTTTATAATTATAATGGAATATGCAGAAAATGGGGATTTATGGCAATTAATCGAAAAAAGGAAAAGAGAAAAAAAAGTATTTAGCGATTATGAAATTATGTTTTTTTTCATCCAACTGGTAATTGGATTAAATTATATTCATACAAATAAAATTATTCATAGAGATATAAAACCAAAAAATATCTTAATCAAAGGGGAATTATTATTAATTGCGGATTTTGGTGTTTCTATAATTATGAATGGAAGGGATTACACCAATACTACAACAGGTACACCACAATATATTTCACCAGAAATTTGCAACAAAAAAGGTTATACAAATAAAACTGATATTTGGTCTTTAGGAGTACTATTATATGAATTAATGACATTATCATTACCATTCGAAGGAAAAAGAGAAACTTTAATTAAAAATATTCAAAGCGAATGTACAATCTTTAAACCTGTTAATCAGTAAGTATTTAATTTATTTTAATTATTAATAATTAAAATATAAAATTACTAATATATTATTATTTAATAATAATAATAATAATAATAATAGTTCAAATGAAGATTTAAGTTCATTATTATTTAAATTATTATGTAGAGATCCAGTTAAAAGATTTAGCACTCAAGATATTTTAAATCAGGTTTTTGTTAGAGAGTTTATAGAAAATCATATGGTGGAGTTTTATAAGAAATATAATTTTAGTATCGAAAATATTTTTAAACCAATTCCAACCTTTAAAAAAGTTTTCACTTATGTTAATAATATTGATGAAGATGATAGTGAAAAGATGTTTGCTATTATGGAGCAAATGAAGGATAGAATGAGGATTACAACTGACCATTTTGATGCTTTAAGCAAAGAAATCACTCCATCATCTCAAAAGCCTATCGAATCAACTCCACTAGAATCACCATCACCCACTGCAAATAAACAAATTAATGCAAATATTAATGGAAAATATGATCTCCTTAAAAAAGTAGCCACTGAAATTGGTTTCAATTTAGAAGACTACTGCTTTGAAACTCACGGTATGTTGATAGAGTTATTAAGAAGTAAATTAGAGGGCAAAGATAAAAAAAAATATTCAAATTGTTTCAACTATTTAGCAAATAAAGAAAATTTATTTTTAAATCCAAACAAATTACCACAAAAACAATAATCTGCAAATATCAAATATATAAATATATATATAAATATTTTTTCTCAATTAATTTTAAATTCTCAGCAAAATAATTTTTTCTATAAATATATCCCAAAAAATTCTCAAAAAAAAAAAAATAAATTTTTTAAAATTTTTTTATAAAAAGCAAACATTAATTAATTATTTTTCATTTTTTATAAACAAAATAAAAAAAATTCTATATATATAAACAAAATAAATTAATTAAAATGGGTGATAATGTTATTAATTTTTATAGAGCTGGTTCAGGTTATGGTTGTTTTTCAAATTTTTCAAGACACACAGGTATGTTTAATGTACCATATTTTTTATAAAAATTATATTGTTCTGACATAATTTTAAAACAACAACAATAGTTTTTTATAAAGGACAAAAGTGGCCAACTTCAGAACATGCATTCCAAGCTATGAAGTTTGAAGGTACAGATCATTTCTTAAACGTATTAAAAACTAAAACACCTGGTGATGCCGCAAAGATGGGCCGTAATAGATCTTTACCTCTAAGAAAAGATTGGGAAGGTGTATGTTGTTTTTTAGAATAAAATAATATAGTATTTATATTAACTTTATGATTTAAAAAAAATTAGGTTAAAGATGAAATTATGTACGAAGTTTGTTTAGCTAAATTTCAACAACATCAAGATATTCAACTCACTTTAATAGAAACAAATGATGCAAAGTTAGTAGAACATACTACCAATGATAGCTATTGGGGCGATGGCGGTGATGGTAGTGGTAGAAATCAACTCGGTATTACTCTAATGAGAGTAAGAGAAACTATTAGAAATGAACTTGTAAATAAGAATTAAAATCAATTAAATAATATCTCTTTGTGTAAATCTATATCATTTTTTTTTTTTCCTTTCTTTTTTTTTTTTTTTCAATTAATAAAAAACTAAACAATAAAAAATATATTTATAAAATAAAATCTTTTTAATTATTTTTTTTACAAGATTAATTTTATTGATTATTACTTTCGATTGTTTTAATATTACCACCTTCAATTTTTTTAATTAGGTTTAAATAATACTCGGCAACTTCGGGATTTTTTGGTACTCCCAAACCATTTTTGTGCATATTATATAAATTTGAAATTGCGGCTATATTTTGTGGCTATTTAAAAAAAAAAAAAAAGAAATTAATAAATATAATTATATTTCTAATATATTATTTTAATATTTACATTTAAATTAAAAGCATTTTGATAACAATAGAATGACTTTTCATAATTAATTTCTGTACCATAACCGTGAAAGAAACAAACACCTTGATTTATAAAACCTTCAGGATGACCTAAATTGGAAGATATAGTAAAGTGGTGTAAAGCTTTTTTATAAGATTGTTCAAAAACAGAATCACCTTTAAAATAAAGTTCTCCTTTTACCAAATGGGCCAAGGAGTCATTTCTTTCTAATCCAATTTCCAAATAGTGTTTAAACTGATCAATTGAATGTTCTAATCCTGCGACACCTTCCATGTAAAGTAATGCCAAAAATGTAGGGGCTGCTTTATGACCTCTTTCAACTGATTGCTTAATATATTCTATCGAGTCTATACCATAATTTTCGTTTCCTAAAAAAGTTGAACCAATAATAAATGGAGCTTCAGAATCACCTTCTTTAGATGCTTTGCTAAGATACTGAATTGCTTTTAAAAGGTTTTCTTCTTTTTGTGTGATTTGGTACTGCTCTAAATAGTATTTTCCCAATTCTAAAGTTGCCTTAATATTATCATAGTCATTTGATGCAACTTCTAACCAGTATAAACCCTGCTTTTCGTTTTTTTCGATATTATGTAAACCTTTTAATAAAATATTGCCAAGCTGGTATTGAGCAATTGGTAAATTTTGAATTGCACTAAGATTGAGGAGTCTCATTCCCTTTTTAATTCTTTCGGCTTCTTCTCTTTCTTTTCTAACTAAATCTTGTTTATAGGTTTGTGATTTCTTTCGTTCTTCTATTAGCCATTTCCTATAGTTAAAATCTTTATTTTCCACATTCGCTTGTGATACCCAACCATCGCCAATAATAACCTCATCATCTTTATTGTTGCTATCATAATTTTTATTTATTTGTTTATTTGTTAATGTTGGAAATAAAGGTTCAAAAACTTGAGTTGATCCAATAATTAATGATAAACCATATGAAAATAATCCTTTAGAGTTATTACTATCTGCTGATTTTTCGAAATACTTTAATGCTTTTTCTTCATCTTTTTCTACTAATATACCTTGTGAATAAAATAAACCAAGATAATAATCTAAAAACTGATTATCAACTAAAATATCTTGTTCTAATTGAATATATTTTTCGACTTCTTTTTGTGTAAAGTTTTTTGTATGATTATCTCTTAAATCCATTAAAATATTTGTATATAATTTCTTATCATTATTTTCATTATTTATTTTATTGTTTATTGAACAAAATGATTTATTTTGATTAATTATTACTCTATTATTTATAATATTTGTTTTAATAATATTATTGTTATATTGTTTAATAAACCTATGAAAATTCCCGATCATTTTAAATATTATAAGTTTCTTAAAAAATTAAATAAAAAAATTAAAAAAAAAAAAAAAAAAAAAAAGTTTTTTTTTTTTTTCAAAAAATAAAAAAATAGATTGTCTTTTTGTTTTAATTTGGTTAATAAAAAAAAAAAAAATCTTCTATTTTTAAAAATAAAAATTAAGTACCTGTCTAGTTTTTGACTATTGCGGACTACTTGACCAACTCGGAGAACCATGTAAAACCAAAACTGACACAGAATATTTTTGTGGTTGTATTGAAGGCTTAAAATGCTCAAATGAAATTTGTGTCTCAAAATAAATTAAATAAAGTTATTATTATTTTTTTATTTGTTATCTATTATTTATAATACGAAATATTTTATTAGATTTATATATGTACAAAATGATTTGGAATTTTTTTTTAATAAATGTGAATTTTGCATAACATAATTTACCATAGATGGATTAAAAAAAATTAAATCTTTATTGTTCTATTTTATTTTTTTGTCTTTCTAATAAAGAGTCTATTAAAGATTGCTTCATTATTGAATAAATTTTATCGCAACCATCAATACATAAATCTACAGCTTCTAAAACATTATTATATTGTAATTCCCCAGTTGAATTAATGAGA